TACTACTATATATATATATATATATATATATATATATATATATATATATATATGTGTGTGTGTGTGTGCGTGTGTGTATTATGTAGTCTCCATCGTGTATTAGGCGTGCGAATAAGTTCCTCCTCTTGTTCGGGAAAAATAAAATTTCAACAACCCTTTGCACTCGTGCTCTACGTATTATATTTATTAATAATAAAGCGACATATGAATACAAAATACACATTGAATGTGAAATTTAAGAACAATGGAAAGGACAATGCAATTCTAAATCTAAAATTGCACGTGGTACAAGCCAGAATTGGAATACGTAGGATCGAACAGTTCGCGTGACAAGCGAATCACGCTGGTAAGTCTTTTTCGCGGATCAAAAATTCGAAGGGTTCGAGTATATTTCGCGAAATACCGCGTGGAAACGTCTCCCATTATCCGCGATGTTTCTATCGCGTTAAGCCGGCGACGGTGGCGGGGCGCGACCCGGAAGGGACTCTTTCACGCGTCGGGGGACAGGTTTTCGTCTTGCGGGAAGAGGAGGCGCGCGAGGTAATTACGCCTACGCGGGCTCGCTTTCACGACACGCCACCCTCGAACGGGAGCCGCGCGGATGAATCGTTGTTGTCTCGACGACAGAGAGAGAGGGAGAGAGAGGGGCACAGCGTCGCGAGTGCAGGGAGAATCGATTCGAAATTTATAGATGGATAGGTCTTCGAGTTGTGGGAAGGATAGGAGCGAAAAAATTCCTGGACGTTTTCTAATTAAATTTAATCGATTAATTCGACTTTGCATCGACTTTAATTCTAATTGAAGATAGAACTGTTCACGAATGAATTCGTCGATTGAAGTTGTAATTAAACGCGAAGGAATTTATATATATAGGATAGAGGGGAAACTGTAAAATTTTAAATTTTTTCGATAAGGATCGTGCTCTTCTTTCACGATAATAAATTTATCGATATCCGTTCCAATTGCTCTTGCTCGCCGTTTAATTAACGAAATCGAACATAAATCGTGTCACGTATCGGCTTCCATCCGCAAGCGTAGATATCAAATATATAGATATATATATATTCTCTATCACGCGATCCTTTTAAAACAAAGATCGATCCAAGATTCGCTTCTCGCATTGGCGGAACGGCGTTATCTCGTACGGAATCCCGAGTGACGAGTGGTTGCTCTATACGCACCGCGATTGCAATTTACAAGTAAAGCCTCTCGCCGCTTCTTTTTTAATCTCGCCATAAAACGCAGCGGGGCTTTCAATTTTATTGTCACGGGCATCCGTATGGAAGAGAGCGCGGCCGTTGGCCGGGTGAAATGATCGGTGGGTGAAGCTTGGCGATAAAATAAATTAAGGGGGGATGCTACCGGGTTGCCGCGGTATCCCAAGCTTTCGGCGGGAGCGTCGCGTCGGTAATGATGCCTCGTAAACAACTGTTCGATTTATCGGCCGAGGCGGGCGGGAATATGCGCGGGAACGAATGCGCGTTAAAAACGAATCGAATTTGTCCCGGTCTTTTGATCGATCCAACCGCGGGGCTATCTCTTTTTACGCGGATTTTGCGAAGAGAGTACAGAGAGTTGGGAAGTTGGTTTTACAGTTTCCAAGCGACAAGTTATTTATCTTGTCGATCTTGATTTCGAAAATCTTGATATTGATTTTGTTGAAAAATCATCAGATAGATACATCCTCGGTTGAGTATCGAAAAATTGCAATAGTTTTCGGTTTGATAAAGCGAGTTTATTTATCATATTTTGCAAGCGTTTCATTTTGATCGGAAAAATTTCGTACGAACGAATTTGATCGATCGACGCTTCCTCCTCCTTCTTGTTTAATACAGATCAACACTGGAACTATCAAATCCATTAAAACGATAAAACTTTGGTTATTTATTTTTTTCAAGTATTCTCGATATTTATGCAACAACGGTGGATAATTTCGAATGAATACTACAATACTAGTAGCTCTGATAGCTGTTGTAAAAAAGCCAAGAGGGAATTCATTACTGCGATTAATTCTTTTTTTTCAATTTCCTGCATTAAACATTTGAAGCGGACGAGTCGAGAATCGTTACTTCAGACACCACGGCAAGTTTCGCGTGGATTCGAGTAAAAACTCCGATCGGAATATTACGATTTTATAAAAGCAATAATTTTTACCTTTCATCGTCGCTCTACACCGTTGCTTAGAATTGCACCAGAAGGTGTCCTAGCCACTAGTCTTTCTAGTTTCTTCGATTCCATTCTACGTTAACGAGAGGACAGGATGGGAAACGTTTGAGGAGGAATTGGCCGGAGGCGAGATCGGCCTCGGCCGATAGAGCCGTAACGCCGAAAATTAGCGCCGTCCGAGAAACAAATACGGGCGGAGAGAGAGGGGAGGGGGGGGGTGGGTCCGAGGCTATCGGACGAAGAAAAAAGGAGGAAGAGGAGGAGGAGGACGAGGAATTTGGAGGGACGTGGAGCTGCTCGCCGCGTGCTTATATCGTGGGCCCCCTCTCCTCCTCGTTCTCGCGCATCACCGCGGGCTCCTGAGGTGTTTCCTGGAAGCGAGGAGAGGAGGTTCTCGCTTCCACCTGCCGCGGAAACGTGTACACCGGGTGTCCTGAAATCCCTCGGCTCGAGAGAAGAAGGGTTTAAGAGGAAGGAAGAAGGAAAGAAGCACCCTCTTCGAGCTACTTGAGAGAGAAATTTATTGGAAAGGGAAAATCCAATTTTTCGCGACTACGTAACAATTTGTTGAAATTCGTATCAGGAATTTTGGAATTAACTTAAGAGAGATAGGATACGTTGTCTCGACGACAGGGTGAACATTGACGAAAATTATTAAAAATTGCCGGAAAGGAATTGGAAAGGAGTCGATAGGATATTTTCGTTCATACCATAACCGGATTCTGTAACACTGTTTACGCAGAACAGGATGAAATTTTATAGTTGAAATGGATACACCGAATTGCGATATCCACTGTGCAAATGACACACGAGGTGTTGGAGCGTAGGACACGGATACCCGCGGAATTACCCGAAAGTAGAAGATTGCCGACCAGGTTTTACGAAGAACAAGTGAGTTGCGTTCCTTTCAGCATCCTCCCCTCTTCGAGAACCTTCGCAAGAACAATTGCATTCCTCAAAATCAAAGAGACTAAACCATCCTAAGAGAGAGAGAGAGAGAGAGGAGGGGGGAGGGGGGGACGTACGTACT